CATCGTGGTACTCTCTGGCAGCCGCGCGTCGCCGATAGCGTTCCTTGGGTACGGCAGGTTCGCGTCGCGTGGACTGGCGCGGGCGTTTCAGGTTGAAGGCCGCCCGTGGCCCAGAGTCGGCCCATCCTTGAACGATCCCGCCTTTTTGAAAGGGCGGATCGTTCAAGCTTGAAGGATCCCCGCGGTGTCAGGAACCTGCGCCGGGTTCGACACGACGCGAACCTGCCGTACCCGGATTCTCACGAATGGGCGCCAGAGGTCTGAGCTGTGATCCGCAAAGCAGCCGACGGGGACCACTCGGGTCGGGCGAGCGGGGAACGAGGGTCGAGGCCTCCAAACGGGGGCCTCCCGGGGTTCAGGCCCTTGCCCCCTGTCGGGTGTTGCCAGGTCTCCAAGGAGGCCCCCACCGCCTCCAGAGCACCCCTCACGATGCCCAGTGGGGCGACGCAAAAAAACGGGGTCGTCTGCGCCGACATTGGCGCGTAAACTGCCTGCGTGGGGTCGCGCGTGAGCGCCCTCGTCTCCAGTAGCGTGCCTCGCTGGCGGCCCGCGCAAGCCGCCGCGCAAGGTCGCTGTACCATCTCGCCTGACACCTCTTTCTGATCGCCGCTCAGGGGGGGCCCCAGGGGCCTCGCTGGTGGAGCCCGAAGCTGGGGGCACCTCGTGCCAGGCGCACCTGTAGCGACCCCCGACCCTCCCGCCGCGCGCACGGGCCGTCCCCACCGGGTGCCTCCCCCGCAGCCGGCTTAAAACGACGCGAAGATCGGGACAAAATCGGATCGGGAGAACTCGAAATCTCTGAGAATCGGCAGGTCTGGAGGATGTCTGGGGCGCCGCGGCCGCTCCAGAGCGTTCCGGAACGCTCTGAGAGCGCTCCGGAACGCTCTGGGGCGATTTATCCCGATCTTAGCCCTATTTTATAGTTCCGGGGGGTCAGCGAGGGCAGGTGAAGCCCATGTGTTCATGTGTAAGGCAGGTGAAGCCCATGCGATTTATCCCGATCCTAGCCCTGTTTTACGGCTTCCCCGACGCGTGCCCAGCCTTCCCCCCCCCCCGGGCTCTCGCCCTGCCCTGCCCCCCCGGAGGCCCCCCCCCCGCGCGCCACCATAGGTCGGGCCGCGGGGCCCCTCGTCGTGTGCAGAAGGGGGGGCCGCAGGCACGCGCCGCGCACGAGGCGCGCCAGGGCCCTCACTGACGCGCACGCGTGTACACCTTAGGCGATGCTTAAGAAAACCTAAGTTTTCGGCCAGAGTCTCGATTATTCTTAATGTTTCAATGTAAATCCTAAGATTTGAATGGACATTCTGGGTTTTTATTTGAATTCTGAGACTCTCAATTTCTTAACCCATGATTTCTTAAGCATTTCGCGGGGTGTACGCTCGCGAGTACAGCCGGACCGAGGTATAAGATCGAGGTCGGCTCGGGGAGGGTATACCCTAATGTTCTTCGTGTCTGTTGGATGTCTTTGTGCATCCTGAGGAGGGTGCCCGTGAATGTTCTGTGCGTTTTGGCCGACGGAGGGTCTCGTGTTCTTGAGGGATGTTCTTCTGGCCTAGTTCCGATTGTAGTCCATACTAGTCTCAGGAGCGAAAAAAGGACGTACACGTACATGAATCCACGTTGGTTTCGAGAGTTCGCATGGCGCGAATGTGCGTATGGCGCGGCCGGTCTCGCGTTTCAAGGGACCGTGTTCATGTACATAGCTAGGCGCGTACGTCCTTTGTGGGCTCCCTATAGTCGGGGGTGGACAGACCTCCTACCCTGACACGTCGATTGAGGAATTGGCCGTTTTCGGTTCGCGAGAGGGCGTCGCGGCCGTCATTTTGGCGGGTCCAGGTCCGCCGGTTTCGGTCCCAAGCCGTTTTCACGAAGGGGAGGTTTGCTAAAGGGAGGCTTGTCCACCGCCGAATTAGGAGGAGGGGCGGAGTGTCCGGTCTGGAGTGTTGGGGCCTCGCATGGAAGATATCACATCGTCGATGTCTGGTCTTGCGGCCCACTGCCCAGAGGGGCCAGATGCGTCCGAGAGCCTCCGTCCTCAATCCCGTCTCGATCGGCCGGCCTTCGGCCCTCGCAGCGTCTGGCCGAGGGTCGCTGATCCTCAGGACGTGTGCTAGCCCAATGGGTGTGTCCTCCTCCTCCTCCTGCTCCTCCTCCTCCTCCTCCTCCTCCTCCTCCTCCTCCTCCTCCTCCTCCTCCTCCCCCTCCTCCTCCTCCTCCTCCTTACCCCTCTCAGCTCTAGACCGACAGCATGCAGCCTGTGTCGTCCCTCATCACCTCCGTTGTAATGGAGGGCTCCGGGGGACGAGCGCACGTTGGCGCTAACACACGTGAGCGACGCAGAACAACGGGTCGGCTAGGCCCTCATTGGCGCGTAAGCGTCCCATGTACGCTCGCGAGTAACTAATTAAGAGGCCTCGTTTCCAGTGTGGCGTGCCGCGCTGATGGCCCGCGCAGGCCACCGCGTAAAGTCGCCAGATCAACGTGCGTGAGACCCGCCTCCCTTCGTCGCTCAAGTATACACCAAGCCGCCTGGTCGGACCAGACGCTCGGGATGTTGATGCGTTTAAGGAGTCTAGACCCTTAGGTGTGAGGTTGCGCAGCAATGTCAACTTCGCACAAATCACCACTGGTCCCATGGACACCATCTTTCTGGGCCCGGACCCCCCGAATCTGTGAGGGTCCTGGGGCCCGAAACCAGGCGAAAGAGCCCGCTGTGAAAAACAGTGCAACGCCAGGATCTCAGGTGACGTCGACAGGTGTTAGCCACGCGGAGATGGGAGTTGGGGGAGGGGGGAAGGCTTCTCAGAAGTGCCCCGCTTCTCAGAAGGCGCGGGCCTTATCTGTAGATGTAGGACCGGCGCCTTCTGAGAAGCAGCCTCCTTCTAATACGCCTTCCCTCCTCCCCCTACCCCCTTGCGCGCGCCGCCAACTTAGTGCATTCAATCGTTTATATTGTACACCGAATTGCACGATACAGTGCCCTAAGCATGAGATGAGATGCAGTAAGCCTTGCGCTCGAATGCAACATGTTATTTCTGCGATACCTTAGTTCGATATTTCGCCTTACGCGAACAGTATTTCGCAATAGTTTGCGGACCTAGAGGCAATAGTTGCGTCTGACCATGCAATACTGGAATAGGTCGGTGTACTTGTTGGACAGTTGCGCGCAGATGTCGCGTGCAGCTGTTCGTGCAACAATCTATTTAATCTACGTTTGCGGACCCCATCGGGATGGACCCCTCAGCCCGGCTCTAACCGTCCCCTTGCCGTGGATCCACGACGCGGAGAGTGCTCTTGGGGCAAGGGACATCGCGGCCACGCGGAAGGAGCGCGCGGGGCCAGGTGGGATGCGCATGTGTCGTGTGGAAGCCCAGTCTTGGTTTTTGCTCTGCGCACAAGCCGAGGGACCGATGTCAAGGAGAAATGTTGGTTCCATGCCAAGTGGGTTGCTGCAGACCGCGTCACCAGGGGAAGGGGGTCGTCGTTGGGCCCCCTGTCTCACCTTCCTTACGACACTGCGTTCCATCGCCATTTCGCAGCTGAGTTGAACAACTCAGCTGCCCCCCCTCCTGCTCCTCCTGCTCCAGGCTTGTATGTGTATATATATAGAGAGAGATATTTGTGTATATATATATGTATACGTGCAGATCCACCGCTTGGGGAACGGACCTTCATGGGCGTCGGGAGGCGGCTGGCAATATATATATATATATATATATATATATGTATATATATACGTATATATATATACAGCGAGAGACAGAGAGAGCGAGAGAGGGGCACGGAGAGAGAGAAAGAGAGAGGGAGAGAGAGCCAGATAGAGCGAGAGAGAGAGAGAGTGAAATTGACAAAGAGAGAGAGAGAGAGAGAGAGACAGAGAACAAAAAAAACGAAGAAAAAGGAAATAGAGAACGAGAGAGCGAGAGACAGAGAGACGCAGACGTGCATGCATCTGTGCATCTAGCTGCACAGCATGTGTGTGTGTACATCTGCGCATTGACCCACCACCCCCTAGGGGTCTTGGGGCATCGGTCGGCTCCCCGGGCGGTGGCCACGGCCCAGCACCCTGCAGCTCCCGCTCCTGGCCGTAAGCTGGCACGTCCCTCTGCAGGAGGGGTATCCGAACATAGTTCAAAGCACAGTTTTGGCACGATTTTCGGCGGGTATGCCTTGGCATCTGCTGAACATGGGCTGATGATGTTTCAGCTTTCCCCCAACAATCCGCCTGTATGGGGACATGCCCGACCTGCTCCTGTCGGGCCGGGCGAAAGGGGGGGATAGGGAAAGGGGGGGTTACGAAATCTGCTGCATGCAGCTGGTTCCGCCCCCGCCGCCAGGCCCATTCCTCGATACATAGGCGCCGTCCTGCGCCAGGAGGCGCCGGGAAAATCAGCTACGTGAGCTGATTCTCAAACCCCCCCTTGGCTATCCCCCCCTTTCGCCCGACCCGCTCCTGGCCCGCTCCCCCTCGGTGCCCCTCCCGCGCGGGGCCTCGTGGCGGCTGCATTGGCGCCAGCCTCTGCAGGGCCCCGCGGTGGCGCGTGACCCCCCCCCCCCCACAGCTGTCAGCTCAGCTCGGGAGAGTTCGGGGAGCAAATCATCTTAAGTCGGGCGTCCCCCCCTGCTGGAGGAATCTTCACAAGTAGCCAAGGACCAGTCTGGGGACGGCTTCCGAGCATTCGTGAACCTTTTGCGGATCTGTTCTGGAGCTCTTGGTTCTTCGTCCAAGATCTGCCTGCAGGAGGACATGCCCGACCTGAAAATGATAGCACGAGCATAACCTCTCGGAGGTCTGCGCGGATCTGTCGGATCGGCGCAGGGAGCCCCCCCCCCAGGCGCCGCTCCAGCGCCAATCCAAGAAGTCCGCGCGGGCCTCCGACAGTCATGTTTATGCCACTCGCTGTTCCTCGAGGAGTGGGCTCCTCCTCCTCCTTCTCTCCTCCTCCTCCTTCTTCTTTCTCTCTCTCTCTCTCTCTTTCTCTCCTCCTCCTCCTCCTCCTCCTCCTCCTCCTTTCCTCCTCCTCCTCCTCGCCCTCCTCCTCCTCCTCCTCCTCCTCCTCCCTCCTCCTACTCCTCCTCCTCCTCCTCCTCCTCCTCCTCCTCCTCCTCCTCCTCCTCCTCCTCCTCCTCCTCCCTCCTTCTTATTGAGCCCCGGCCCGGGTATTCCTTGCGTTCTCATCTGGCCTGTCCAGAGATCCCGCTCCATCCCGCACTATCTGGCTTCACCCGATTTCCGATGGAGCCTCATCTGCGTTTTGGCTTGCTCCAGCCGAGTCGCTCTTACCGCGCCCGCGAAGACGTCCGAGGAGTTCCCGAAGAAGAAAAACGTATAAACATAAATGTTTGGCGCTCCGCGCGGATTTCTTGGATCCGCGTTGATCCCCCCCCCAGCGGCGCCTCTGGCGCCGCCCTTGGCGCGCCAGGGAGGGGGGTCCAGCGCAGATCCAAGAAATCCGCGCGGAGCGCCAGAAGTTTATGCTTGTGCGTTTTTGTCCTTCTGGAGCTGCTCCCCCACGAGCACCAGGCCCATCTTCTCCTCATTGGCGCCTCCATATCTGCCTGGGAGGTGTCCATAGAGGCCCCCGAAGGTCCCCCGGAGTCCTCCCGAGGCCCAGGGGAGGACTCCTCATGGCACTCCGAGTGCCCCAAAGCGCCAAAGACCTGTGCAGTGCTTCTCCTCCTCGAGGCGCGAGGCATTGAGTCTGGTCCCCTTGCCCGAGTGCGCGGGACTCTCCGAGGGTAGCCCAGCCATCTGGCGGCCGTCAGTCGGCCCGAGCTCGACGTTCGTGGTCGATCGCGGGAACACGCAATCTCCGTCAGGGTTGAGCCCCCTGCCGCCGGCGCCCTCTCTATCATACCGGGATCTATCAGAGTCGCGTCGGTGCGTTTCGGCGCTGCCTTGGCGCATCTGGGAACATCGCGCGGGGGCGGATAGGAATCATCACCGCATATTGAGACGTTGTCGTTGTCCTAGTGGCTGGCCTTCGGCCCATCCGGCCGCCGTGCCTGGGTTGTGGGTCTGAGGCCACTTGTATATGTGTTGGGGTGTCGTGGGGAGCCTCTCGGGGGCCTCTTGGCAGGAGGCGATTTGAGCGTCTCTTGGGGGCATCTTGGGGCCTCGTGGGGTATCTCTTGGGCGATTCGGGCGCCTCTTGGAGCCTCTTGAGGCCTCTTGGCGGCCTCTTGGGGCCTCCTGGGGATTTCTCGGGACACAAATATCGAATGTTCGGTTCGTGGACCCCTGCTTGGGCCCCTTTTGGGGCCGTCTTCGAGCCGTTTTGAATGCTTCTTGGGCCGTCTTGGCTTCGAGGCGTCTTCTGCTGCCTTGGGACCGTCTTGGGAGCCTCTGAAGCCGCTTTGGAGCGTTGGAAAGTCGAACATGCGAGAAGGCCAACATTCTTCAAACACATGTTTGTAACATATACGATGTTGGCCTCTTGGGACCCTTTCGGGAGGCCTCTTGGAGCGCTCTTGGGGCCTCTGTGGGCCCTTTTGGGCCGTCTTCGAACCATATTCGGGCGCCTTGGAGCGCTCTTGGATTCGGCAGTGCGAATTTGTCGTGATTTGCCAAGGTTTATGGTTTCGGGGACGCGAATATTGCACAATTCACTAGGGCTTGTCGCCTCGGAGACGCAATACTTACGTAACTTACGAGGGTTTGTGGCCTCGGGACGCGACAATCGCGTAATTGAATCTGTTTAATTTTTGGTATTCCACGCCCCCCCCCCCGGATTGCAGACAACGCGATCTGGGCGTGGTAACGGGGTTCTTCGGGGCTCCCCCTCTCGCGCGGACTGAAACAGTTTACAGTAGAAAGCAGAAAGCAGGACTGTAACATTGGAGACTTGAACCTGAAACTGGTGCAGGGAGCAGCAGCTTCGCCCTACAGCCTGGTGGCCTCACAAGGGGGCCGGCGGATTACCCTCCTCTTCCTCCCAGAGGCAGCCGATGAGGGCGAGCCCAGGAGCGTGCGCGGAGATGGAGTAGGGAGGACAAGGGGACGAGGAAGGGAGAAGGAGGAGGGGAGGATAATGACATGGGACGAGGAGAAGGATGAAGGATGAGGAGGAGGCAGAGGAGGAGGCAGAAGAGGAGGCGGAGCAGGAGGATGAAGATGAGGAGGCGGAGGAGGAGGAGGAGGACGACGACGACGGGCGGCGGACGCCGACGTCGCCGACGACGGCGACGCCGACGACGCCGACGACGCCGACGACGCCGACGGCGACCCCGACCCTGCCGGGGGTTGTTTCCCCCACCCGCAGGCCGCGTGCCGCGCCGCCTCGTTGGCAGCGCAGCTGCGGCCGCTGGAGGCCCCGCTGCGCGGGCTGCCGCCGACGAGGGCCCACGGCGACGCTGCCGCGCACGACGGCCGCCCACGACCGACGGCCGCCGCCGGCCGACGGCGTCCGCGCCGCCGCCGACGGCCGCCGACGGCCGCCGCTGTCGACCGAGGACGGCCGCCGGCGGCGGCCGAGGACCGCCGTCGACGGCCGCCTGCAGGCCGCCGCAGGCCGCCGAGGGGCACTGGGGGCTGGCGTTGGGTCGGGCCTGTCCCCCTGCAGGGGGCTTTTCGACGAAAAACAGCAAGTACCCCCCAAAATAGTCCAAACCTAGTATGGGGACTATTTTCTAGTATTTTGAACAACTTTGGGGCATTTTTGGGTAAGAACAGGAATCGTCGAAAATTCCCTTGTAGGGGGACACGCCCGACAGAAGGCTGGCGGCGGCCAGCGGAGGCCGGCGATGGCCGCCTGGGGGCGCCCCTCTCGGCGGCTCCTCGGCGGGCTTGGGCCGCCCGGGCAGGGCTCGTTTCGAGGCCTCCGAGTCGATTCGGTTCGACTCCGAGGCATGCCGATTTCGGGGGTGGACAGAACCCCCAACAGTGACACGTCGATTAGTGAGTTGTCCGTTTTCGGCTCTCGAGAGGGCGCCGTGGCCGTTATTTTCCAGGCTTGCGCCCGCCAGGTTTGGGCCTCAGGTCGTTTTCACTAAACCACGTTTTACTAAAGGGGGGTCTGTCCATCCCCGACTCCGGCTGATTCCGATCAGGACGCAGCGTTCTCGGTGAGGCCCTGCTGCTCTGCCGATGTCCGCCGATTCGACTCCTCCCGGCTTGGCCGCCGATCTCCGCCGATGCGATTCACTCTGATCGCCGATTCGACTTGTCGATTCGATTCTGGGCTCTCCTGCCTGGGCCGCGCCGCGGAAGTCGTCGGCGTCGTCGGCGTGGGCGCCGTCATCGTTGGCGGCGGCGGCGTCGTCGTCGGCGTGGGGCTTCGCCCGTCCGTCGTCGTCTTCGTCGTCGTCGTCTTCGTCCGTTTCGTCCGTCTTTGTCAGTGCATCAGTCTCGTCCTTGATCGAGCACAGTTTGCGCAACCTCCGCCAGCCTTTCTTCCTACCAGCGTCTTTCCTACCACGCGGGGCTTCGAAGTGCACAACCGTCGCCTCTTCTGCGGACCTCCTGGGACAGTGGGAACATACGCGGACCCAGACTGGACCTCGCAGCTCCGTGTGGGGGCTGCGAAGTGCGCAACTGGCGCCACTTTTGCGGGCTCCTGGGAGGCCCAGCGCAGTGGGGACATACGCAGACCCAGACCAGTCCTCGCGGCTCCCCGTGGGGGCTGCGGAGTGCGCATCTGGCGCCACTGGTGCGGGCTCCTGGGAGGCCCAGCGCAGGGGGGGCGCACGCGGCCCCGGACCAGACCTCGCGGCTCCCTGTGGGGGCTGCCGCGAAGGCTCCGCTCTCGAGCGCCACGTGTGCCGCGGTCAATTATTTGCATCGCATGGTGTGCGCCGCAGTCAGAACATCGAATCTGCCAGCCTGAGCTACTCTCTCTTTCGCCCGCTCCTGACTCCCTGTCGTTGTTGCTGTTGGTCCGCGTTCAGCTCGTTGTCCTTCGCCTTGGCCCCCACGACGGGCACAACGCACAGCCGCAAACAGAAGCAATAGTCAAGGTCCTCCAGGGTCCGTCGTTTTGGATATCGTTTCGACTGCCCCGAAGCCTTGAAACATAGATTAGCGAAACGCTTCCGCATTGTTTTCCAACATGTTGGAGGCATCGATCCCTCCCCCCCCTTCAGGGGCGGCCTAACCGCCCCCTAGCAAACCCTCCCCTCCCGTGACGCCCCCCTCGCTTCGCCCCAAGATGTATGTGTGCGGCCGGAGGGAAGTTTGAGAGGCGAGGGGAACGTCACAGAAGGGGATGGTTTGCCAGGGGTCGCTTCGGCCGCGCCCCCCTCCTCCAGGCCCTGGTCGTCCGGCTGCGGGAGAGGCAGCTGATCGAGTGGCAGGGGTTGCGCCAGGCCGGGGTCGGCTGCGGCCTGGCATGTCGGGGGAAGAGGAGGAAGAGGACGGCGAGGAAGCTTGGAGGAAGTTCAGTTGGAGGAGGAGGATGGGGAGGATCTAGGCCTCCCAGAAGGGGTCTGAGTATATGGGGTCGGAGGATCGTGCCGCATCGCTGATGCATCGCGGATGCGGCCAGATGATTCTGAGTTCCTCCGTGCCGACGGCTCCTATGCATCGCCGACGTCGCCAGTGCATCGCCAATGCATCGGCGATGCATCGCCGATGCATCGGCGATGCGGCGCGATCCTCCGACCCCACCTGCTCCGACCCCATCTGGGAGGCCTCCAGAGGAGGTGGATGCCGAGCCGAGGTGGAAGAGGTGGAGAAGGAGGGGGGGCGCAGGACGCCGAGCAGGCCGAGGAGAGAGAGGGGGGCAGGCGTCGGTTCTTGGGCCGGAGGCGGACGGATCGAGGAGGCGGTCGGGGAGGATGCCGAGGAGGATGGCATCTCGACGAGGCCCAGAACGGTGGGGCGTCCGAGGTGCGGGCACTCTTGGATCGTTTTGGAGCACTCTTGATTCTTCGTCCAAGACCCCCCTGTGGGGGGACACGCCCGACCCAAGGATAGGGACGTGCAGCAAACTGCTAACGCTGGGAGCGTGGCGGCGGGCCCGCAGCTGGGGCGGTCAGACGTGGGGCAGTGCACCAGAGCCGTGGGGGGCAGTTCTTGCCTCCTGGGGCGCGGCGGCGCCACGGGCGCGACGCGCCAAAAACCGTGGCTTGCCGCGTGGGCAAATGTCATTCCAAGGCCGGCCGATGCATCTCAGGCGAGGGGAGGAGGAGGAGGAGGAGAAGGAGGAGGAGGAGGAGGAGGCGGAGGAGGAGGAGGAGGAGGTGGAGGAGTTGTGGGCAATCTTTATTCCGGGGCCGGCTGGTGCAACTCACGCCGAGGGGAATAGTGGGCGGGACGCGCCAAGGAGTGACCACCCAGGACACGTGTCGATGGGAATGCAGCCGCCGAGCTGGTTGCGCCTGCAGAGCGGCGGTGCCGCAAGGGGGCACTCACAGTATTGGTGGCCCAGAGGTGTCCAGCATGAACGGTCCATGTGAGCCACGCAGAAAAACGGGGCCGTCTTCATCGACATTGGCGCGTAAGCGTCCCGCCTAAGCGCCCTCGTTTCAAATGTGGCCTGCCGCGGCAGCGGCCCGCGTAAGCCACCGCATGATGTCGCTATGCCATCTCGAATAAGACTTCGGCGCTCAGTTGTCTTTCCTCGGGCGTTCTGGAGGTCACAAACGCGTGCACCATCAGTTGCACCCGCACTGGTGGCGGGCGTGCTTCAGTCCAGCTGTGTGGCCGCGGGCCAGGGGGTAGCGCAAAGAGTGGGGCATGCACACGCGGACGTGCTTCCCGCTGGCCCTCCCCGCCGCGGCCGGACGTCCCCCGCGACGGAGGACCCAGACGTCCCTGGCGACTCGAGGAGGTCGCGCCGCAGGTTTTCCGCCGACCACGGGAGTCGGGACGCCGTTCGCGGGCCCTGGGGCCATCAACTTGGCATCGCTCGGACGTGTGCATTTTTTCCTCCGGCGAGGACCATCGAGGAGCATGCTTGATCATTTGGGGAAAAAACCACGCACGAAACCGAAAAAAGCAAAGGGAATGGACGTCCGAGCGATGCCCAGCTGGAGCTGCTCCTTGGGAGGAGGTCGAGGTCTCCAGGGTTCCCCCGCACGGGCAGAGCCGGGCGGCTGGCGGCCCGGAGGCCTCGCTGCACCCCCCGCCCCAAAGCCGGGCATGGGAGGTGCCTCGACGCGGGGGCCGCCGAAGCGCTCGCAGGATCTGCGCAACGCGGGACAGCTCCTCCGCCTCCTCCTTCTCCTCCTCCTCCTCTGCCTCCTCCTCCTCCTCGTCCTCCTCCTCCTCCTCCTCGTCCTCCTCCTCTTCCTACTCCTCCTCCTCCTCCTCCTCCCTCTCCTCCTCCTCCTCCTCCCTCCTCCCCTCCTCCTCCTCCTCCTCCTCCTCCTCCCTCCTCCTCCTCCTCCTCCTCCTCCTCCTCCCCCTCCTCCTCCTCCTCCGTCTCCTCCTCCTCCTCCTCCTCCTCCTCCTCCTCATCCTCCTCCGCCTCCTCCTCCTCCCCCTCCTCCTCTTCCTCGTCCTCCCAGTGTGGGGCATTTTTTGTAGACCTCCGCCAGCCAAGCCTGTGGTGCAGGCAGAGGAGGGGGCTTATGACCCAGGCCGGCGACGAGCCTCGGGGGGGGACGGGAGAGGAGAGGGCGCAGGCCTTCGAAGCAGGCGGCGGGGCCTCTCGGAGGCCCTCCGGGCGTCCTGGCATCGGAGAGGGCCCGGGCACTTCTCGGAAGGCGCGAGGGCTTCCGAGAAGCCCCGCCGCCCTCCGAGAAGGCCCGCCCTCTCTCGCCTTCCCCCCGGGCTCGCCGCCGAGACAGGCACGCGGGCGTTTTCACAGACGGCCCTCGGCTCGCGCGAGGCCGCGACGCCGCGCCACCGCCTCTGCCTCGAGAGGTCCCCGTGGACTTCGCCGGGCGGCGTCGAGCCCGCCCGGCTGCGCCTCTGGCGCCGCCCCTCGCGTGCTGCGCGCGCCGGGGCGAGGGAGTCCAGTGCCGATCCAAGAAGTCCGCGCGGGCCTCCTGAGGTTAAGTCGGGCCTGTCCCTCTACAGGAGGAATATTTCAAACATCGTCCATAGTCTGGGGGCTATGTTTTGGGCATTTTTTGGATATTTCGGAGCATGGTTTGAGTATTCTTGTTTTTCGTCCACAACCCGCCTGTAGAGGGACATGCCCGACCGAATCCTAAGTCCCCATGTTTCTGCCAATCGGCATTCTTATCTCAGGCGATCGCAAACATGGATCGAGGGGGCGTGGATAGCGACGGGTCCCGTTTCCATGGGAAATCGCGGATTTCCGCCGCCGAACGTGGCGGCACCAGTCGCATTTCGGGAAGGGCACCTCCCCCGATCCATGCCGCGCACCAAATTCATGGATCGCTAATCCATGTTTGCGCGGCCCGATTATCCATGACCCCGCCCTGCCCCCTTGGGCCGTGTCAGGTAGACTTATGATGAGGATACATGTTTCCAGAGCGACTCCAGATGCTCCAGATCGATCAGAGCGTTTCGGATCACCCACCTCGTGCACCCAGTCTCTTCTGGTGCCAAAATAAGGGGTTCGTTTCCTTATTTAGCGTTTCTTATTTCGACAGTCCGACTATACTGAGACGATGTGGTGCAGCCCGATGTCTGCATGGCGTTGTTGTGCATCCTGGAGCGGCCGACTCGTTTCGATCCCCGATGCGGCCCCGTACTTGCAATGCCCTGTTTTTGTTCAGCGCGCGGTCCCTGGATAGTTGTTTGACGGCCCCAGGGCCTTGTGAGCGACCCCAGGGGCCGAAGATTGAGACACATTGCCGTCCTGATGTTTCAGGACGCTGCTTGTCATGTTTGGGTACATGTTTGGGTGCCACTTCCCGTTCCGCCTGCTGACTGCCACTTGCATTTCGCCTGGCCAGCTGCTGCTTAGTTGGTGGGCTCGTCCTCTACAAAAGGGGCGCGCATCAAGAAACCACATGCTCTTCGCCAGGGTATCCTGGGTCTCTTCGCTCCTCGCGCTGCGCGGCGACTTCCCGCAGCCGTTGAAGGAGCTGCCTCGCTCAGGATGCTCCGGGTATTCCCTCAGGTGCACCCCGCGCACGGGTTCTCAGGGTTGGGCTTCTAGCGAGGCTTCCTCGCGGCCGCGCCCGCACCCGTACGTCCTGCGCGTCTCCGTCTCACGGGGCCCCCGGGGAGGAGGAGGAGGGAGAGGGAGGAGGAGGGAGGAGGAGGAGGAGGAGGAGGAGGGAGGAGGAGGGAGGAGGAGGGAGGAGGAGGGAGGAGGAGGGGAGGAGGAGGAGGAGGAGGGAGGAGGAGGAGGAGGAGGGAGGAGGGAGGAGGAGGAGGAGGAGGAGAGGAGGAGGAGGAGGAGGAGAAGAGGAGGAGGAGAAGAGGAGGAGGAGGAGGAGGAGAGGAGGAGGAGGGGCCCGAGGCCGCCCGCGCGCCCCCCCGCCCCGCCGGCCCCTCGGCGGGCGCGCCTCTCTCCCCGCGCCCCCCGCCTCCGCGGCCGCCCCCTCTCCTCCTCCTTCTGCCCGTGGCTGGCGCCCACTGCGCCCGCTGCGCCCCGCCGTCACCGACCCGCCGGCGCCGCCGTCCACAAAGCCATTCCGCCACACAGACACAATGAATCGTCGATTCCTCCTCCTCTTCTCCTCCTCTGCCGGTGGCTGGCGCGCCCCGCCGTGACCGACCCGCCGGCGCCGCCCGGCTTCCCAAAATTTCGCAGGCCTAGAGGTTGACACCAACTCCAATTTCGGCGGTGTGCCTCCCCCGAGGGAAGACGATCCCGATCTCGGCGATGGTGGTACTATTCTGGCTTCCAAGGTGGCCGAGATATTACCACCAACACCGAAGTCTAGGATCCTCTTCCCCCTTTGGAGGCAACCCCCTGTGTTGGTGTTGGTGCCCATTCCCAGGCCTCCAACAAAAGAGCGGGATCGGCGCCCCCGCGTCCGCGCCCGCGCGGCGCGGCGCGGGGCCCGCCACCGTCCGCACCGGGGGGGGGCGGCGCCCGCGGTGTGGCGGCGAGGAGGGGCCGCCCGCGCGGGTCCAGGCGCTCGGGCAGCGGACGGATCGGGGCGTCACGAAGCCATTCCGCCGATGCGCTCCGAGTTCGCCGTTCGCCAGGAGGGGAAAACAAAAACACACAGACACAATGAATCGTCGCTTCCCCAGAAGAGATGGGAAATCTGGGAAGTGGGGGGGGGGAGACAGGAACCCATAACATATGGGAAATTGTGGGGAGTTTGTGTCTATCTATTTGTGTGTCCCAGTTCGATGCTGGATTCGTCGCCGCCCCCCGCGGGCCCAGATCCGCGAGAAGCACTGGGAGCGCCAGGGCGCCAAGTGGTGGCTCCACCTGGTGGAGCTGATGAGGCGCCCGGCCAAAGCTCGCGCGGCCCGGCCTCGCGCGGGGCGGGGCGTCAGGGGCCGCGGCAGGGGAGGAGAGGCTCAGGGCGGGGGGGGCATCGCCCCCCCAATCGCCCGACGACCGGGGGGGGCCCAACTGCCCCCCGGCCCCGCCGAGGGTCGTGTGCGGGCTCGCTGTCGGGGGCCTCTCGCCGATCTAGCGGCGATGCATCGCCCCTTCCAGGTCGCTGCTCCCCCCCCCCTGCGCCACCCTGACCTTCAGAGAGCTATTTTTTAGCACTGGAAACCTAAAAACCTAAAAAACGAGACGAAACAGCCTAAAACCAAGACGTAAAATAGCTCTGGGATAGGTTTTTACGTCGGGTGCTATTTTTTGGCCCTCCTGGAAGGTCGGGGCAGTCCCCCCCCCCTTGTCGTTGCCCCGCAGGGTGGGCGGGCGAGGCGGCCGTCGGCGACGCGCGGCGAAGGGCAGGGCGAGGGCGCTGCTTTCTACCCAGGCCCCTCGTCTCCGAGCGCCAGGGCGCCAAGCGGCGGCCCCACCTGAGCGACGCAGGACAGCCATGTCGTCGTCACCGACACTGGCGCGCGAGCGTCCCGCGTGAGGTCGCGCGTGAGCGCCCTCGTCTTCCAGGTGGCGTGCCGCGCTGGCGCCCCGCGTGAGCCACCGCGTGAGGTCGCGAGGCCACCTCGCGTAAGAGCCGGTTCTTTTCACCGCTCACCTGGTGGAGGTGATGAGGCGGCCTGGCCCAGGCCGCGCGGCCCAGCCTCGCGGGAGGGTGTGGGCGGGCGAGGCGGGCTTTGGCGGCGCGCGGGGAAGATCAGGGCAAGGGAGCTGTTGGCGGCCCAGGCTTCTGTCCTGAAGCGTAGCCGTTGCGCCAGCCCTGCTGGCCAGCGAGGGCCTGGAGCAGTGGGCTGTTGCACCGCGTAGGTGAAAGCGAGCGGTGTAAGCTATGTGGAGTGAGCCGTGTCGTCTAAGCTATGTTGTGTGAGCTTTGGAGGTGGTGTAAGATATGTGGTGTACGCTGTGTCGTCTACTGCAATCGGTGTGATTTGAGCTGGAGGTGGAAGATATGGGGGTGCAAGCGATGTCGTGGAAGTAAGCCATGGCGCGACAACTGTGGTGTAGGCAGGGGCGCCCACGAGCGCCTCCGAGGCGGCACGGGCGGCAACGTGGACCATCCCCGGGCGACGTACACCTTAGGCGATGCTTCTAAGAAAACTTAAATGTTCGGCCAGAGTCTCGATTATTCTTAACGTTTCAATGTAAATCTTAAGATTTTGATAGAAATTTTGGGTTCTTATTCAAGTTCTGAGACCATGAATTTCTTAACCCATGATTTCTTAACCATTTCGCGTGGTGTACTTGTCCAAGTGCCGAGGGAACGGGAGGCCAGAGCCCCGGAGTGCAGCACTGCCCGGGAGGTGCTCACACATGGTGCACCAGATGTGTCAGCCCGCGCGGAGCCCACACAGTGAGTGATCACAGCGTGGAGGCGGCACGAGCCCCTGACGGTGCTTGCGCGTGGGAGCCCCCAGTTGTGACTCAGGAGCTGGGCCTGTCTGCCGCTCTGGCGCCTGCGTCGTCGCCGCCGCCGCTTCGTCGCCGCCCGTCGTGGGGGCCTGGCTGCTGCTCCGGCGGCCATGTTGTCGCCGTCGCCGCTCCGTCGCCGCCTTGCATGCCTCGCGACACAGACATTGCAACGCTTTGATTGCACCGCAGAGATTGCACCACACAGATTGTCCCACATAGTTTGCACCACATAGATTGCACCGCATAATGTGCACGACGTATCTTGCCCGCACTGGATCGCCCAACATCGATTGCACAGCGTGGATAGCACCATGTATATGGCATCGCATAGATCGCACCGCACAGATTGCACCGCATATTTTGCACCAACCACACAATTCCACAGATGGCACGGGGTATATTGCACCATGTCTATTGCACCGTGTAGATTCCACCACATCGATTCCATCACGTAGGCTTCACCACAAAATTCGCACCACATAGATTGCACACGATGAGTTGCACCACACATATGAATATATATCTATATATATATATACACATATTGCACCAACCACATTGCACCACATCGAGTGCACCACGTAGCTTGCACCGCATGTATCGCACACCATAGATCGCACAATTAATATTGTACAACATGAACTGTACGAGATCGATCGCGTCACACATATGGCACTGCATAAAGTGTACCGCATATCTTGCACCACATAGATTGCACCACACTGTTTGCTCCACAAAGCTTGCACCACACATATTGCTAGACTAATACTGACTGTTTGAGGTCCACGCTGACTGGCATAGTGTGTTTAAGCTACGCTTAAACACACTATGTTGTGGTGCACGCTATGTTGTGTAAGCTTTGCAGCGTCAGCTATATGGTGCAAGCTATAGTGTATCGTATACCCTATGTGGTATACACAATGTTGTGTGAGCTATGTGGTGCGAGCTTCGGTGTAAGCCATGTTGTGTAAGGTTAGCGGTGCAAGCTATGATGTGTAAACTGTACAGTGTGGCCTGTGTTCATGTGTTGTGAGCTATGCTGTTACGTCTAAGCATCGCAAGCTGTGCTGCGTAAGCTACGCTGCGCACACTACGTGGCGTGAGGACCGTGGCATGCGCTAGGCGTTGCAAGCTACGTGCTGCAGGCGCTAAGTTGTGTAAGCTGTGCGGTGTAGGCGCGCGGGGCGCCCACGCGGCGCTCGCGTGCGGGCACGCGTTCGCCAGCGAGGCGAAACCTCGTGACACACACACACACACACACACACACACACACACACACACACACACACACACACACACACACACACACACACACACACACACACACACACACACACACACACACACACACACACACACACACACACACACACACACACACACACACACACACACACACACACACACACACACACACACACACACACACACACACACACACACACACACACACACACACACACACACACACACACACACACACACACACACACACACACACACACACACACACACACACACACACACACACACACACACACACACACACACACACACACACACACACACACACACACACCGCGCACGGGGGGGCCCAAGGGGGCGCCCACGCGCGGGCGCGGGCGCCACCGCGGCGCCCCCTCGGGCCACCCAGGACGGGGGGGAGGCCCGCGAGGCGCGCCCACGAGCGGGCACGAGCGCCGACGGCCCCGAAGCCTCGAGGAGTCCGACGCGGCGCTTTTCTGCCGCGGCTGGCGGGGGGCCTCCCAACCCCCCAACAAAAACCAGGAGCTGGGGAGGGGGCGCTCCGAAGCCAGGAGGCGGGGGGAGGGGTGTTCCAGAGCCCACCCCCTCGAGTCCTCGAGCAGTCCGACGCAGCGCTTTTCTGCCGCGGCTGGCAGGGGGGCTTCCCAACCCCCCAAAGAACCAGGAGCTGGGGGGGCGCTCCGAAACCAGGAGGCGGGGGAGGTGTTCCAGAACCCACCCCCTCGAATCCTCGAGCAGTCCGACGCAGCGCTTTTCTGCCGCGGCTGGCGGGGGGCTTCCCAACCCCCCAGAGAACCAGGAGCTGGGGGGGTGCTCCGAAGCCAGGAGGCAGGGGGGGTGTTCCAGGACCCACCCCCTCGGATCCTCGAGAAGTCCAACGCAGCGCTTTTCTGCCGCGGCTGGCGGGGGGCTTCCCAACCCCCCAACAAAAACCAGGAGCTGGGGGGGGTGCTCCGAAGCCAGGAGGCGGGGGGGGTGTTCCAGAACCCACCCCCTCGAATCCTCGAGAAGGCCAACGCAGCGCTTTTCTGCCGCGGCTGGCGGGGGGCTTCCCAACCCCCCAACAAAAACCAGGAGCTGGGGAGGGGGTGCTCCGAAACCAGGAGGCGGGGGGGGGGGTGTTCCAGAACCCCCCCCCCCCCTGCCAGGGAAAAGAAGCGGAGGGGTCCGGAATCCCCCTCTCTCCCCGGACAAAAGTAATTCGTCGGGCATTCCAAGTCCAGGACCCCCCCCCCCGAAAATCATTAGTGGGGGGGTCCACAATTTCCCGACGACGACGGGCGACGACGACGCACGACTGCCACGACGCCGGTGCCGGTGCTGGTGCCGACGCCGACGCCAGCGCCGACGTGGACGACGACGACGCACGACGACGACGATGCTGGTGCCGACGCCGACGCCGACGACGACGGCGGCAACAACGTCAACGACGACGTACGACGACAACGATGACGACGACGCCTCCGACGCCGCCGCCGACGACGATGACGACGAGAACGACGCCGACGACGCCGACGACCACGAAGACGATGACGACCACGACGACGACGATGATGAGATCACGACGACGACGCCGCCGCAGACGACGACCACGACGACCACGACGCCGACGACGGCGACGACGACGACGACGACGATGACCCCGACGACGACGACGCCACCGACGACGAAGACGACGACGCACGACGCACAACGACGACGTCGACCATGGCGCCGACGCCGGCGCCGACGCCGACGACGGCGACGGCGACGACGACGACAACGACGACGACAAAGACAACGATGACTCCGCCGCCGCCAACGCCGCCGCTCACGACGACGATGACGAAGATGACGACGGCGATGACGCTGAAGGAGATGACGACCACGACGACGATGACGACGTCGACCACGACGACGACGAATCCGCCAACGCCGGTGCCGACGACGACGACGACGAAGAAGACGAAGACAACGACGACGACGACGAGCAGTTTCGAGTAGGCGGAGAGTTGAATATAATCGGATTAGAGTAGAGGGTTGAGTAGAGAGGAGCAGTTCAGAGTAGGGTAGAGAGTAGCGCAGGGAGATGAAGATCTTAGTAGAGTAGGGAAAGAGTCGAGTAGAGAAAGTAGATGGGCAGAGTGGAGCAGCAATACTGTAGAGTAGAGCAGAATTGAGTAGAGTAGAGTAGAGTAGAGTAGGAATTACACAAAGTAAAATAGAGTAG